CCTGTTAATGGCACATTTCTTATTTGGGTGAAATAAGAGAGGAAATAAATGCTGATAAATATGCTAAAAGAGAAATTAAAAGGACGAGCACTGAGGCTTAGAGACCACGCAATCGTTACAGAGGCAGAGATTCCACAGAGGGCTGCAGCGGGAATGCAAATGTGGTCCTTAAGCTTCCTTAAAACAACATCAAAGCCATAATCAATGTGCTGGCTTTTGTTCTATGCACTAGGTGTTCCAGCTTTGTAACAACGTGATCACATGAGCCTCGGCTATAATAGATACTGTCCAGCCTGGGAAGCGCTGTGATTTTAGCTGGAATCACCTTAACTAAAAAAATAGTTTATCTGCAAGATAAAAAAATAGTTTATCTTGCATAGAATTGCATGAAAATGAAACTTTTGTCTATTTCTGCCATGGTGGAGGAATAAACAAAACTGACACAATGCCATAAATCACTACTTTCTACTTGTATTTGGGTACAGATATATGTGGCTCACCTGAGTACTAGAAATAATCAGCCCTGCCTTCCTAACGACAACTCTACTTAGCTGAGTGAGCATCAAGGGTATAAGCACTAAGAAAGGTAGGTGCTAACTTGGCTTCATATCCCTGGTTTGCCCAGAGTGTTCCCTCCTGCACTTTCATGGTCTCCTAGGCAAGCACACAAGTCAGGTTGCTCTAAGGATTTTAGCCTCCCCAGACACATCCCAAAACATCGTGGTTCATGCAGTGATCTGATCCCATGCAAATTAAATCCATGTTCATAAGCACTGCTTAACTTGCATGTGGCGTAATCAGATGCAAGAACTGAATGAGCTGTATGAATATCAACTTTGTATGAAAAGGGAAAATAGATGCAATGAGTCAATATCCCCCCAAAAACCAACCTAGAGCAAATCCCTAGAGCTGCCATCCAACCTGGCATCCCGTGTGACTGGTCCTTGCTCTAGGTGAAGGGAAATCAAAGAATTGATCCAGCATAGCGAGAACCACAAACCCAGAGATGAGAGTGGCTCCAGGGCTGGCTATGTGAGAAGAGGCAGGGAAATATTAGAATGTAAAGAGTTAAGCTATGGTAAAACATACTTTTGCTACACTAAAGAAGACTGGTTGATAATTACTGTAGTTTTAGGGCTATTTGAATCAGTGCAGCTGCAACCTCTTCAGTAGTAACCCCTGAAACAAGACAAACTGGGTTTATTGTACTGAACAAGTCTTAAAGCTCCTCCCTGATTGTTAGTAATTGGCAGCAATGGACTTAACAGCCTCTTGACTACCCTTTTTACACTCTACCTGACTGTGCAGCTAACAATTTAAATCACAGATGCCGATCCTTCTTTGTGGCAGCTGCTTGTTAACAACATGTTCCTCTTTTTCTGTCACTGGCTGCTTCCATAACCCTGCAACACCAGGGTTAGATTGGAGAATCACATTTCATCAATATTTAAAATGGAATTAAACCTTGAAGTTTGATTAATGCTACCAGATAGCGAGTTGTAATTACTATTTTGCAAATTGCAATTGTTTGAATATGTTAATATGATTGTCTGAGCACATCTTCACCTTCACGAGTAATTTTCCCTTTAAAAAAGATTTGGGGAAAAAAAATAAAGAATACGAACTCTTTAATCAGTGGTAAATTATCCCCCTGTGCACAATTAGGTGCTATGGGGTACTTCATGTTGTGTGCTGAATTCTGTGTCAGTGTATTTATCTTTCAAAGTTTACCCATTTATAGAGATTTTCCTCGGTAGAATAAACACCCATGGAACAGACTTTGCTGAAACAGGACTAAACCATGGTGGTATTTGAAGGTAAAGAAGAGAAAGCTTTATCTGAAAATGTTATTGCAATCTGGTGTATCCCTGTTCAGTAAATGTTATTTCTTCCAAAGTTAGTGAAATATTAATTATTATAATCACATATCATTGGAATCTTGAAACAGTGAGAGATCTGCACAGATGAGCTGTTGGAATACATGTGAGTATTGACTGGTTCTTCTGAACTGTTTTCTTGTGTCTCAGTCTAAACCAAGTCAGTTTTCTAGCACCCACAAAAATACACTTTGAATATTGTGGGTCAGATCCTCAGCCCAAACTGGGAGAGCTTCTCTTTTATTTCTGTGATTGATTCAGGCTGCTTTGAGCAGGGAGAGACATATGGAGCCAACCCTAGTAGCCACCTCCATGACTGACCCCCAGTCATCAGCCCACAGCAGATGACAGCCAGTGGTGCAAGTCCTGCTGACCTTCTGCTGGACACTGTCTATGCAGTCAGCAGGTCAGTGTGGCTGGAGTCTCTTCAGGCAAATAAGACCCAACGAAATCTGTTGGTCACACTGTGTCCCTGCCAGTAGCTCACTTCAAAATCTTCTTACCAAATAATTGCTTTGCAAGTTCCTTCCTTGTTTTGGTTGGCTTTAGGGGAAACTCCAAATGCCAGCCGAGTCCAAACAGGTGTCTGTCAAACACGCTGTAATGTGTATTCCATAGTGAGCCCAAACTGCAGCCCACTTAAATCAGCGGATTTCTGCTCAGCGTCTCAACAAAATGAAACTACTTGTCTGGTTTTCAATGTTCAGTCTAAAAGTAGTGGCAGAAGAGACTTCCCCAACTGCACAGTCCAGATTTATCTCTCAGATGGGATTAGAAACAGCTGAAAATCCAGGGTGGGCTCGCTTCAGGGTGCTTCCAAGGGATGGCTTGAAAATACACTGTAATTTAGGTGCATTTAATCTTCCTATATTGAATGCATATTGCAAAGTTCAGAATTACTTGCTTCTAGCTATTGCATTTCTGTGTTGCTTATGGAAACCTCAGCTGTGACAGACCCCTTAGGACTGCATGTTTAGGTGTCTGCCATGATGCAGAGTGGAGACTATCAGCAAACAGCAGTATTGTCATATAGGCTTCTGGATTTGCCCTCTTAACTAGTTCTTTCCCAGGAAACCACCTAGAGGTGCATAGGAAGATGTGCTGCATTGAAATTGGAATACTTGGTGGCTTGCACAGAGAAAAAGCCTTCATTGTTCACCTTAAAATCCTTGTCTGGCTCTGTGTTAGGTCTTTGTACCCCACTTTGTAGCTGTATGTGCTCCTAGTGTCTTAAAGGCTTTGTCTACACTGAAGAGCTGATGCACGCCCTAATTCACTCCAAAATTCAGATCCTTGGATCCCTACTCTGCCCAAAGGCAAGTTGGGACCAGATGGAGTAGGCATCGTCCCTTCCTTCACCCTTGCTTTTGTTAAAGGCCATGTGAGCAAGAAGGGAAGTAGATGTGCCCTGGTATGTGCCTCCCCTGGGACAATCAGAGGCTGGCAGCTCCGGCGTACCCTGAGGACACGGCTGTGTGGTAAGAGCAGCTTTCCATGACTATGGTTTGCAAGAGGGTGTGTTTACAATAGACAATCCTTGAACAAGAGCTGGGTTTCCTTTCTGTTTGCAGAGGGCCCAGTGCACGCAGACCATTGTAAACAACAATATCATTTAATTCTTTCGCATGCCTGACTCCTCCCATCACCCGCGGTGCAGTTTATCATGTTCTTCCACTACACAATTACAATCACATGTGACAGCATCTCAGCCATGGATTCTGCCTGGCACACCCCTTCCATTTCCACTGTCCCCTCCGGGTCCCTAGCACCACTTTCCTTACTGCACCTGACCCCACCAACATCAAGGCTGGCAAGAAAATGGAAAATGTGTTTTCAATTAACCTTTGCTTCCACCCACAAATTCGCACCCTTCCATTTACTTTTAATTACTGTGATTCCAAAATGGCCCCCAAATGAACTTTCCATCTCTTGTAAAACTTGTTTTCACATGAACTGTATAGCGCCTATAAGACTTGTGCATAACCTATTTAATGGATTCACAATAGGATGGCAAGCACGCAAACAAAGTTGTTATTCTTGGCATGCCACAATTTGGAACTGAAACTTTCAGAGTTTTCAAAGTGATATGTATTTTAAGACCAGGAAACCACAAGGAACAGTATATCTGCAAAAGCTATAGCTACTGAAACCACTGTAGTAACTTACATCATGATGCACCTATTAAAATTATCCATGTTGGCTATAGTCTTGGCCATAAATTGTATTGGTTCATAATCTGTTTTACTGAATTGAGTGTATTTTATGTTAAAACACGTAAGCCAAATGGTTACATGGATGAGAAATCCCCAACTCTGTCACCTGAGCAGACTTTGATTTGCAATGGTATTCAAAATGTGCCCGATCTTAACACATTCCTATATAAAAATATAAGAAAAGAGCATATGATGGGTAGGAGAATTGGTCCAACATTTTAAAAAGTGTTTAGGGAAGAGTAACGATAGACATGGAGCTTCTCGTAGGAGTCTGGGATCTTCCCTTTCTGTTAAGTAGGCACAATTTCCTTATGCCATCTTTCACTTCACTGACACATACTCATGTATTTGCCTTGCCCACTCAGCAGTCCTCAGTTTGATACTTTCTCATGTTCTGCCTCTTCTCCTCCTAAGATTTGCCTCTTGAACTGATTTAGTTGTTGAGCATTGGAGAAGATTTAGGTCCAAAGTGCTCACATCAGGATAAAAGCTGACTAAAATACAGGAAGAGATAGATGAGCAACACTTGGAGCTCCACGGGAAAGAGCTATAATACAGTTTCTGACCTTCCTCTTAATGTCATATTTTTCAAATCTTCTATCATAGAAGCAGTGAGCATGGAAAGCAAGTGTCAGAAAAATGGAATTGTGGGAATGTGGGGAAAACCCTATGTCCTGGGACTAGACACAAGAGAAAAAAGACTATGGAAGATGGAGGAGACAAGAGCAAAAGGTGAATTTGTTTGCGCATGTGTAGAGCCTTGTGGGCAAACAAAACAAGCTGAGTGCCATGGCATAGAGAGAAAGTGTTTTTTGCAGTGGTATTTTGGAGGAATCTAAGAGGCCAGCAAGAGGAGTTAGCAGTAAAAAGGACCAGCACTCCTGCTGATGCAAGAAAAGCAAAGGACTACTCACATTCATATGCTCTACTGTGTAAATGGAGAGTAGTATTGGCTTTCCATTTTACAAAACCCTGTATTGAGAAATAAGTTTGTCAGCCCAAGTAAAGAGGAAAAGATCAATGGATTGCAATAAACAGCATTTAACATAAAAATGAGTGAAATTTACAATTCGGTTAACTTGTGAAATGTTAAAAAAAATCAGCAAACAATGGACACAATTTGTTTTGTTCAGAGCCCAGAGGTAGAGACCAAATCCTCTAAATTAATTTCTGCAAAAGCTGGGGTTTTTTTCCAAACAGGTCTGGATCCTATTCGTTGTAGAATATACTGATTACCAACTATTTTTAAGAGCTTTACACAAACATTATTTCTTTTGTTGTGTGAAATGCAGAATCAGCCATCTGGCAAATGCCCCAGAGCTAAAATCTTTTACACGACATATAATTCAAAATGATTAAATATACAACAGAAAATAGCTATAGCATTGCACTTAAAATAGCATGAACTTTTACTGCCGATCAAAACTGATTTCTTTAGCTTAACAAGTATCCAAAGAACAATTATTTGAAGAGCTTTTAAGAGTTTCAATATGTAGGAACTAAGCCTCATCTAAATTCAGTATCTTAAGTCAAATAAAAAAGAAACAAATGTACAAAAGATTAAATGGTCCTGCGTTATAAGTAGACATTTAAATCTATGGGAAGCTAAATTCATTTGAACAAAAATACTATATTCCCTCTGTATGTGTATTGCTGGGGCTTTCCTCTCCATTGCTAAGGGTATCTGCCAAAACAACTCTCACATTCTTAGGCAATGACTAGGGACTAGCCTGGAATCAGACTGTTCATCCACTCCCTCCATCATCAGAATGGGCAATTTCAAAGAAGAACAGGGAATAAAGCTCCGTGCATGATCCCTGAGTGCAGTCAATCTTTTTTTCCTGCACCACAGTCGACTTTAAGTTAAACTTGCTGTCTTTTTTCCAGAAATACTCCAGGCCTGAAAAATTGCCAGCTCCTCATCCCACACCCAATTCTGCAGTAGTTTATGAGAAAGAGCAAGCAAACATCTGCATGTGTTTGGGGTACATAAGGGTAGGTACAGAAATATTACCCTGCGTAATTATTGAGTGGTTATGGCTCTGTTTCTCAGCTACATTTTTCAGACAAGTCAAAGTCTACATCTCCCCAAAGCAATTGGTGCAAGTCAGATCTGAGTTGTGAGACAAAAATAAGGGCTAAATGTAGGTTTTTCTCATGGATTTGCATACTTGGATAAACCTGAAATGGATGAATACATCGCCGCCAACTCTCAAGAACATTTTGCTTCTAAATTCTTTCAGACCAAGCATGAGAACCTTCATCCCAAGGTAACAATGTGAGGCAATTGTAAGTCTGTGATTGCTCAGGCTTCGAATTGAAATGGCTTTGCAACCTTGCCTGTGGAGTTGGGTCAGCCTCAACCAAGGAACCTCAGACGTTCTAATCCCAGACTTTTCTAAACTGTAATAAAATAATGTTCTTGAATCTTGACCTTTTCAGCTCATAATGATTCCCGAAGCAGCAGGATTTTTCCTGCTGCTTTTTACAAGACTTTCAGGCTTGAAGAAATCCTAAACTGATTGCTGGCTCGTTTGGGATTGCAGCAACACCAAAACCTCTCCTCTGTGTAAAATACTTGTCCTGGTTCTCTGGGCCTAATCCTGCTCTTAGTAACATGCATGTTAATTCAGTTACCTGACTGAGCTTTTAGGGTAACAGCAGGCTTTGTGTCTTCCTGATCTTGATGTTATATGAAGAGATGCATATATTTCAGGAGGAAATACTGACTGAAGTATAGAAAGATTCCCTATGCACCGTACACACATTAATTAAACCTGAAGATGGAATATGAAAATAGTAGCCCAAATATTCTCCTATTAGAAAGAGCAAAAGCATATTTTATATTATTTAACTCATTCTTTCGAATGAGTTAACCACAGGAGAAATAAGGCAATTTTCATCAGAAGCATCTTTGCTTTTCATCAAAGGAGAGATGACCCAGGCAATCTCCTATAACCTTTTCCATCTCAGTATGACAAAATTTCTCTTTCTGATGGTATTTTCTCTTTGAAAGCTATGGGCTTCTCTGATGTTTGGAAGTCCTAAAACCTGAATGTCACAGATTTTCTTGTACCTCCCTGCTTTGCATTAAACATAACCTCATATATTTTCTACTTTCAGTGGAAAATTGGGACATCTTCCCATCTTTCTATTGACCAAACTCTGTTACAAAGGTGCCAGGAGTCCTATTTCTGGAAAAGAAATAAAGAAGTAATATTCCTAGTGAAACAGGAGTCTAGGCCCAGTATCTGTTCAAAATAAACAAGGTATCTCCTTACAAATGAGCATTCACATTCTTATTTATGTGTCCAATTTTGCGTACTCCGCAATACTGGAAGGAAAGAAAAGATGGAAGAACACATGGAGAATGGAGAGAAATTTGAGCATCCCTGAGGAAACAGAGGTTTAGGGACGGGGCAATAACTGCAAGATTGTGATGAGATTTTGGAAAACTTTGCTAGATAAAAACGTAGAACAAAACTGTTGCTGTCATTTCGTTCCCTGGGCCTGATTATGTTTTCATGATAGGCCTTTGCACTGCTTTAACTGCAAGAGCTCTTTCAGTAAATGAGTATCAGACCTCCATGCTAGTGAAACGCAAGGCTTGCCAAATTTGTCGGGAGCCTCTGTGGCACTCTCCATCCACTCATCTTGACAAAGAAGTGGTGGAAGCAAACTCAGTAGTTTCAAATGGCGTCTGTTTTCTTCTCTTCTGGAATGGTACCTGGATGCTGCCAGTTTGGAGGCAAGTCAGTGCCAAGGCTCTACGTGGAGCTCTTCCTCGCCCTCCTTCACAAACAGCCAAGAAACAATCAGAAACCGCTTCATAATAGGGCCAGGGTGAAAGGTGAGAACTGGAGTAGTCTGAAAGCCTGCTGCCAGACCTGAGGAAGATAGTGTCATTTTGGTAAACCTGTCAAGCTGTTGTAAGAACTTCCTGAATGCTTCCTACCATCTGCTTTTGATGCTTTCAAGACTTGGCTGGAAGCCTGGAGGTTTTCCTGCTCCTTCCTGCCCAACCTATAATGGAGTAATTCTGGATCTGTTCCCTGTCATCCCAGCCTCTTCCTCAGTTTCTTCTGCTTACAGCTGGGGTTTTTTAACTATATTTTTTTCTCTTCACTGCAGTGGCCTTGTGCCCTGAATCATCTCTCCTGGGGCGGTCAGAGTTCCTCTGATGTTGAACAAGTGCCGGGTGTTTCAATTGTGTTCATGCTCTTGAGAGGAAGGGTCTGGCCTCCACGACACATTCCTTCTTCACACTCACATCAACACAAAGTTTAACTTTGTGTACAGGGCTCTCAATGGAACGGCCACACAAAGCACATCTCCAACGACTCCGTCAGACTGCACGCTGCGCCGCTGGGCTCAGTGAATATTGATGGATATAAATTGTAGGGTCTGAGATAAATGTCGTGAAGGACAATGAGTTCAAAGAACAGATTAAAAAACAATAAATTGAATTCCAAGGCGTTCCCTCCTGTACTAATCTGTGTAGGTTCCTGTGTTTTTGGAAAGCATGTTGCTTATCTTCCTCATCAGTAGGCCCACAGCATTCCGGTATTTTGGATCAATGCCATTTGTAATAATCTAGATCAGTTTTTATTCAACGTTTATAAAACAGGCCATGTATCACAGGGTATATTTTATAGCAGATGGTATCTTCAATTCATTTAACCCCCCCCCTTCACTTCCCTCCTCCAATATCACAGTGCATACTTATAAGAGCTCTTCAAAGTAGAGCTGAGCAGAATTCTCTTCAACAAATAGTAAATTTGCTGAAAAATGGCATTTCCAAGCAACAAAACTGTTAAACTGTGGCACAGTGAAAAATGAGATGTTTTGACTTCTAGAAAAAATGGGTCTTGCAATTTAAACATTTTTGGGGAAAAGAAGTGGGGTGAGGAGTTGTTTTCAGAAATAATTTCTATTAAAAAAGAAGGTGATGAACTCCAGGGTTAAATAGCCAGAACACAAATGTTTGTTTCAGGTCAAGTTACATTTTCTGAGTTATCCCAGTGTCAACTGTTTTGGGGTCTTCTGTGTGGTTTTAATTCGAAGAGATTCTCTTTTGGCTTGATGAGGACTAATTTTTCCCAAGGATTATTAATTTGGGGACTCTGTCCATGAGACCCAGTATTCGCCAGACTTTACTCAAAACACAGCTCTTCAAGGAAGTTTCCTTGGGAAAGCCCTTTGGGGCTATTTCACCATAGCCCTAAGGCTCATTTCAATAAAATGGGCTATTCTAACATGCAGAGATAACCACATGCTTAAGCACTTTGCTGGTTCACAACAGTTTATTAGCTTTCAGGATCAATGATGTACACCTTACAACCACTCCCTTACTTGAGATCGTAATGGAAGAGGTTGAAAATCTTCTGAGATTCACATACCAAACAGTCATAAAATATATTTATTCATATCTGCTTGGGAATACCTCATTGTAATTTTGCAGACCATGATTTATACAACTCTGGGGATGCACATGTAGCTGACAAAAGTAAATAGGTAAAAATATTTTAGTTCAGTGATAACAGAACCAAATCATGGACTTTTTTATGTTGTAGCTTAGCTTTACTCATGCATCCTAGAAGCCATGGCAAGTAAACTCATCTTAGTTTACCTTGCAAAAGACGTTAATCATACCTGCGTTTCTCAGAAACCTGAATTTGTAGTCGACAACAACTCTGGTTTCAGGATTATAGAATCCATCACCACAGTCGTAACAGCCTTTGGGGATTTCTGGGGGAGGATCCAGATTTGTAAGCTGAGAAATATCTGGAAAAAGTAAAAAGAAGAAGAAAGGGTTTGCTTTATTCTGCTTTTATTTTTCCCCTTCCTTTTTCATTTGTGCCTTTTGGTCAAGATAACCAACACTGATCTCTGCGCCATTTGCTGCAACAATTATGCAGTCACCTTACAATAACCTTTAGAAAACATTTTGCCAATTTTGCATAGGGAGAAAATAAAGATGGAAAACTGCATGCAGCAAAAGTGCGTGATAAAATGGTATCACTAAGCTAACAGCAACAGATATGACCCCAAACTCCAAACCGGGGCCAGGAGAGTTGTGCTGGCCGCAGAGAACTACATGTAATCACTAAAATATTCTATGTATAAGGAAGAGTATTTTATGCATTACGTTACAAATTTTACTCACTTGGTCCTTATAAATCTCTTCACCTTCTGACTACAGAAAGATAGTAATATTCTGAGTGTCTTTGGCAAAAAATAGACTGTACAGAAATGCTGATTTTGGTATCTACTATACAGCTACGTGGGACAGATGCATTCAAGCTTTATTTGATGTCCTGGATGTGAACTAGGTGCTTTTGTTCAACTTGTCTGTATTGAAAACCCACTGCTAATACAGTGAAGGTGAAATGTATAAAGGGGTTAATAGATGTAGATAACAAAGCCCTGTCCTGTGGGTCATTGCTGCAGAGGAGACCACGCTGCGGGCGCAGTGCTGCATCCTGCACCGCATGGAAGGTTCTGGCAGCGTCATACAGTCGGGTCCTGAAATTAGCCAGAGCGTTTCTGCTCCATGTTACTCATGTAGCCGAATTAATCTTTCTTAAGCAAAGTTGTTAGTTTAATTCCTTCCAGACTCTTAGGATCGCAAACGCAACTCAGTACCTGGTTCTATGAGACCAGAGCAGATTTCTGTGTAAAATCTTCTGTCGTAGCCATCACAGTAATGCCATTTTTTATCTCTGTATTCGAGACCATCTGCAAAAGTGTATTTCCCCTGCAAAACACGTTCAAGCACTGAGTTAATAAACATGATGGATGGATGGAGCACAAACACCACCAGTCTTCCCGCTGCCAAAACTGTGCCTTAGCCGAGTGCACGGGTCAGCTGGGGTTTAAGGAGCGCTGGGGGCTGCCTCTGCCTGCCCACCAGCAGCCTCCCCTCGCACCTTTGAGTGCCAGAGGCCACCGAGGGGTGAAAAAAAAAATCAGCATGGTTCAGAAATCCGCTTATTTCACCCCAAAACCTCCCCATGCAGCGGGGCCGCTCCCCACCAGTGCTCCCCCTCGGGATGGGCCGAGGTGCCCTCGGGGTACCTGCGTGGGCACCCCGCGGTGCCAGACCGCCCGGTACACGCCGCCGTTGGGGAACAGCAGCTCTCCCTCGCCGTCAAACATCCCGTCCTTGAGCGTCCCCCGGTACTCGGTGCCCGTGGGCAGCGTGTAGCTGCCCGGTCCCTCCATCCTGGAACACAGACGGTGGTTGCGGAGGCCGGGCCGGGCAGCCCCGCTGCCCCGCTGCCCGCCGGCCCTACCTGCCGCGCACGGTGGCCCCGGTGTACCGCCCGTCAGACACCTCCATGGCGGCCCGGCCCGGCCCGGCCCGGCCCCGCCGCGCGGTCACCACGGCAACGCCGCCGCCAACGGGGCTCCGCCCCCCCCGTAGCCTCCGCGCATGCGGTGCATGCGCAGTGCCGGCCGGGCGCTGAGGGGAGCTCAAGGAGAGCGGCGCCGCCGCCATGCCCGGCGTCCTGCGGGTGCCCTCGCTGGAGGAGCTCGATGTGCAGGAGGTGAGTGACCGGGGACCCGGCCCTGCTCTCCCCATCCCCGGTGCCGGGCAGCGCGGCGGGGTCGGCCGGCGCCCATTGCCGCTCTGCCCCGCCGTAGGTGAAAGTCAGCTCGGCCGTGCTGAAGGCCGCGGCCCACCACTACGGCTCGCAGTGCGACCGCCCCAACAAGGAGTTCATGCTGTGCCGCTGGGAGGAGAAGGACCCGCGGAAGTGCCTGCAGGAGGGGCGGGAGGTGAACCGGTGCGCGCTCGAGTTCTTCAGGTGAGCCAGCCCGGCCAGGCCTCCCCTCTGCCCCGAAGGTGAAGGCGTTTCGGGGGCTCCCCCGCTGTAGTGCGTCCTTGTCAGGCTTCGTTACTTGAGCAGCTGTTTAATGCGAAGTGCCATTCCCATCACAGCCTTTAAAGTCTCTGTTCTTGCCTTTCAAGCTCTAACTCTTGGGTAAATAAGCCCTGTCTGTTTTATTTAGTTATACATTAATTTATCCTTTAACATTAAGCTCTGTGGCTTCAGTTCTAGAGTAAGCGGGCTAGGTTTCTGTTAGGTTAGCAGTGGAAGGTGGGGAGGTGACGGAAGTCTTGCTGCTCCTGCACCTTCCAGCTGTACTGTGACATCCAGGAAACTGACCAAAGCTTTGAGTTGTCTGCCTTCTGTTTCACAGGTGAACTACTGTGAGAGCTTGAGCGCATGCCCCATTTGCCTCTTCTGACCAAGCATGTAAATCTAAGGCTTGTGTCAGTATCACATTCTTATGTTGCCAGTAAAAGGCCTGGTTGAATTAACTTAAAGTGTGTCCACTTCCAGTGTAGCAGCTGGTAATCAGAAATGCCTGTTCTAAGCATGTTTTTCTTGAGTTAAGACATCAAATTAATTTGGAAGCATTAGAGCATTGTAGAATGTGCCCTTTATTTGGCAAGACAGGGATGTCATATGGAAAAGCTGCGTACGTTTACTTAGCAAGAATAGTACTTTCTATTAGAATACAAGAATAACTAGTTAAATTATTGCTGTCTCCAGTTGTAGCTACAGTGACATGAATTTTACTGGTAGTGGTATGAAGTTCTGTTTAATGATGCTTCGAATGCTGACTTCCCGGAAGAGTTTAAATGTTCCTGAGAACTTAAAAAAAAAAGCCAAGTTGAGGTTTGAATGAGTAAGAGAAAAGCATTAAAACTCTAATATTTGCAGACTGTTTTCTTTCTCTGTGGTCTCTTGCAGGAAGATCAAGGCACACTGTGCAGAGCCATTTACTGAGTACTGGACGTGCATTGACTACACCAACCTGCAGGAGCTCCGGCGGTGCCGGAAGCAGCAGGCAGTGTTTGATGACTGTGTGCTGGAGAAGTTGGGCTGGGTGAGACCTGATCTGGGACAGCTCTCTAAGGTAACTTCACACCTTTTTGATAGCCAGGTTCTTCTCTCCATTCTTAGAGACACAGGTCTCCAGCTCTTCTCCCAGCTAGAAGGTGATTTCAGGAGCCTGACACTGGATTTAATAGAAGTCAAGACACTGTTGGCATTCTCCAGGATTGCCTTCCCAGAAGACTTGCACTTTACTTGGACAATGACAGTCTTGCTTTTTTCTTTTCCTGGCACAAAGACCTTTACTTCAGGAGTGAAGCTCACACGCATGTACAACTGCTCTGTAGTTATGAGTGAAATGCCCCTCACCTCCCTTTATATAGAAGTAGTCTGGAGATAGGAGCTCTCATCAGATCAACAGTATGTCCTTAGTGGTGTTTGGTACTTCTTGGTAGTCCTTTCTTTAACTTCTGACTCGGTCCAGCTTTTCTAGTTAATGCCATGAGAAGCTGTATCATTTCTTCTTTGTTCTTTCCAGGTTACAAAAGTGAAGACAGACCGTCCTTTGCCTGAGAATCCCTATCACTCTAGACCTAGACCAGAGCCAAATCCACCCATTGAAGGAGACCTGAAGCCCTCTCCGTTTGGCAGTCGGCTCTTTTTCTGGTCCTGGTAAAGTGGGCAGACTATGCTGTAGCTAAAGTGCAAAGATGTATTGCTTGCAAATGTAAATTGTCCAGTGCACCTTGGGTATAACTTTAATGATTAAAGAACCCCAAACTGTTACGTGGCTCAGTTGACTTCTTTAAACATACTCGCACATCGCAGCAACTAAAAAATGTATTCTCCTGTTCTGCACAGTGCTCTCTGCAGTTGTATAGCCCTTTGGAACCTCTTAGTAATGTTGATTGCTTGGTAGTGACTACCAGGCTTGTCTGAGATGTGTATAAATGTAGCCTGTCTTTGACTACTGCCTCAGTCAATCAAAAACTGAGGCTTTACTTATTGAGAACACTGCTACTTGGGTCAAGGAAGCTTTGAGAACAAGCAAGGTGTTAATGTCTTTCCTCAGTCTCACAACTGATAATTACACATTCCTTTCCAAGGGACTCTTCCTGTGTAGGTTTAACCTAAAATCTGTCTTGGAACAAGGGTTTAGTTGAATCTGTGGCTTTTGCTATGTATGAGGTGAGTACTGTTTCTGACAAAGGTTCTTCTACTTACAGATACTCATTTCTCATGCAGTTAGTTTAGTGCCTTCATTTTATTGGGGAACAAGCTACTTAGAGAAATCACACTAAATTTTCAACACCTTCAAGTAAAAAATACCTCCTAAAGCATCTTCCTATCCCATGAAGGAGTGTAAGAAGGTGGCTTGTCTTCTGTCTCGAGGCCCTCACTTGAGGGGTGTGCGTCAGATCCTTCACTGGGATACTCTCTTTGATAGAGAAGTAAACCAGTTCTTTCCTAGATATTGTAGAAAATAGAAACTAAGAGTCATGTTTCATAGGAAGCAGATCTAGTCTTTTGTCCACTCTTACCCCATAGCAAGAGCCTGATTGCAAAGGTCAGAAGAAAGGAAATGAACTTGTTTTCACAAAGCCATGTGCAGTTTTGCATGCACCATGGCAGACTTGTGTAGCCTGAACCACAACAAAGACTTGAATAGTGCTTTGCTCCTGGAGTAGCCTACTGTTACTAGGATCTGAAGACTTACCATGTCCTTGTTTGGGGGAGGATTAAACTGTAATGGGGCTGTAGCTGCAGCATATGTTTCTGATCCATGGAGCTGGAGGGAAAATTGTATAACATTTATCTAAAAATAGCTCATGCCCTATGTGGCTCATGGGTTCTTGCTGTTCTCTGCTTGGGTATGTTAAACTGAAGCTCAAAGCAGGTGCTATGGCATACATGTTTGCATTTTAATGTAGGTATCATGCTGTCTTTGCAGCTCTTCTAAACCTGGGAGATGGTGTGCACCTTTGCAGTTTGTCCTTGCAGATCACTGCCAGCATTTCAGAGCAGCCACGTCTTGCTGAGGAAAGATAACCCCTTTTCTGCAGAGATTGAAATTAGGACAAGCTTGAGGTCTAATTACATTCAGCTGAGTGAGTGAAATGAGGTTTGGTCGAGTAGAGGATAAATTGTTCTGGGATGTTAACACGTGTCACATCTGATCTTTTGTTGCTGACCCACTCCAATAGTTAGGCAACCTCGCAGAAAGACTTTTTAGATGTTACTTACCATGTTTTGCTAATAACTTACTATTGTCAGCATAACGTATGAAACACTGCACTGCTGAACATCTGCTTTTGAATAAACAGGCATGGGCATTCCAGTAGTCAGCCCCTAATCATAATTAAAGAGTATTTTCCCCATTAAATCGCTTCTGAAAAGAATGACATGCATAAATAGGGGGGCAATTTTTTACAAGAGCCTTTTACAAACCCCGCCCTTAAGTTGGCTAGTAATGTAAGCGAAAAAGCCCAAACCCCAGTGATTTATGCTGCAGCCTCAAAGGTTTAAGACTGTTCATCTGTTTCATGACAGCTGAATCTACTGCCTCTTGGGTCAGAGTGGTTGATCCAGTGACGATGCACTGACCACGTTTCAAAGTCAGAATTAACCATCTGCTTGCCTAGATTCCAGTTTCAAGCAGGAGTGGGCAGGTGGATGTACAAAAGAGAACAGCAGAGGAGGACAATGAAGTGATAAAGTCAAGCAGAATTCAGCTGTGCTGTGAGCACTTCTTTCCTTAACCTCTCCAAGACAATCGCTTCTTGTCTTTATCTCATAGCTAAATCTCTGCAAGGAAGTGTTGCCAGAGGTTTGGTTTTGGGTGCTTTGGACAGTGCCTGTGTGCAGCCATTTCTGTTCAGAACCGTTGTGTGGCTTTACTCAAATGTAGATGCCCCCTTTGGAGCTGTAATGTTTTCTTGGAAACTTCAGAACAAGTGAATGTCAAGATTGAGTAAAAACCATAAAAGTGGTTTTGAGGAATGTATCTTGACATGTTTTTGGCAGATGGAGAGCAGATGCGTACAGATTCAACGCAGATATTTTGCTGGCAAGGGGAGAAGTGTTATTTGTTATGTTGTAGGCTCTTCCCTCTGCCAGAGCTTCTAATCACATGTGTCAAATTAACAAAACGTTGAGCCAGTGTCGTCGTAGCCTGAAACACCTTGACTTAGATGAGGCAGAACCTGCTCTGCTCTTTCGGATTGTGGATGGGAAGAGTAAAATCCTGGTGTCATTTCTAACCTCTGAGGTAGCAGCATGCATTTCTGGAGCAGCAAAGTTGCGTGGCTCTAGCACAGCAGCGTTCTTCTCAAGAGAAAGTGCCCCTCCAAGCCATCTGGCAGTTTAACATGCCCTGATCTCAAATGGTCCTGCTTAGCTCCCAAGGCAGAAGGGCTGGAGAGGGTGCATTGTTAGCCAAAAAGGCCAGGAGTGCAACAGCAGCTCCCCCTCTACTTGTAGCCACCAAATCTGGCTTTATAATGATTATATTACTGGTTTTATAATGATTATTACTGGTTTTATTTAGCTCTCTGAGTTTCATAATTCTGTTGCATGTCATGTTATGCTATTATCATCCCTAGGATGACTTCTAGGAGTCAGTTCAGGTGTGAGCCTTTCCAGCATTTGGAAGCTGAGACTGGCTCAGCAAAAACCATTCATGGACTCCTCTTCCTCTGCTTTCAGTTGCAATATGGTTCTACAATGGAGAAGTAATTTCCCCCATTCATAAGCAAAGAAAAACCTGTATCTTTATAGCAAAGATTCATAATTCTATAGAACCTTTGCCTCAGAACAAGGATACTGCTACAAAGCTACGGAAGAAACTTGGAGCTCAGGCTGTGTAAAATCCTTTTGAAAGCGTGCTGTGTACTCCTGCATGAGAAGAGTTTGGAAACTAGAATCCATCTGGGTATTAAGAGGAGATTTAAGACTCCCTCTTGTGGCTGCATTAAGCTGATCTTGGGCATCTGTGTGAAGATTTTACCCTCCTGAAAGTGCAAAGGCTATTTCAGTATTTCTGATAGAAACTTGATCAGGTCTTTTGTCTTTGCTACAAAATTCAGTTGAATATTGTCTCAACTTGAATTTTCCTACTAAAAAAAAACCTCTTGAACGGAGGATGAAGTGAGAAGAGGAAGAAAAATGGGTTGAAAATGTTCTGATCACCTCAGTCACATTTGGTGTGACTTAAGGAAGTTAAGGTAGAGCCAGAGTAGGTGGAGGTGGTTGGAAAAACCTGGTGTAAATGGTATTTGCTCTTCTGAATCCAGAATGGATGCATCCCTGGTGCCACAGAGGATGGGATGGTTCTGAATCGGCCAGTGCTAGCAGTGTGTGACAGGCAAACATGGGGAGCTGGTTAATTGCAATATTTAATCTCATGTAAAAGCACATTATTTCTCTTTATTAGGAATAGACACGACTTTACCAAATGGTCTTAATAACGTAACCCTGTGATTCTGCTAATAATTTTATGGTTTTCATGTGAGCCCTTCTAGCTGGAGACGATTTAAATCTAGGACACCTCCTGCACAGTCGAGTGTGGTACAAATAGTACTTTGGCAAAGGGAGGAGATCTGAGAAAACACAGAACAGCAAACTAGAGGCAAGAAGTCTGCAGTGCTATTTTGGATATTAAGGCAGTAAATCAGCCCTGCAAGCAGAAGCAGATGCTGACCCCAGACCCCCTCTCAGACCCCAGAGGCAGGTCAGCAACAAGCTCACTTGGCAGTATGGGGGTTACTCCTGGTTTTGGTTTCTTTCTGCTTCAACAGCAAGTTCCTCCAGTCCCTCACACGTGTTGCAAAAGCTCTGGCAAGCCTAAAGCATGCATGGGTCCAGGTTCCTCGTGTGTGTGATGTCTGTGCTTGACGAGAGCAATGCAGCAAGAGCAGGCAGGAAGGGGAGCTGCATTGCCTGTGTCTGTCACAGGGCTGGGACAGAAGCAGAAGCTGCTGGAACATGAACAGTCGGTACCTGACCGGATCCAGGAATAAGGGCTCAAAGGAAATAAATGAGAGCATTTGATAAGGTAGAAGCTCTCCTGTCTTGCCTGCATCCCAAATCATCTCACCATCGCTGCTGCCCTCCCTGCCTGCAGAATAGCTTAGATCACGTTTGTCTATTGCAGGTGCCTGAACAAAAGGATTCCAACCTGTGTGCTCCTGTGCTCTTGGCTGGGCTGGCAAATGCAGATGGCTCCAGTGAGCGCTTTGCTCACGCTGTGGTCTGCAGCATAAAATGGCAAGAAATGGCTTTTGCTGTTTTGGTAGGGTTTGAGTTAATTTCTCCCTTCTCACCAGGGGAAATGAGGGCTGGGAAGAACAGCCATGCCTGTTGCTTTGTTATGCTCGGCTTTGGCTCCGACTCTGGCACCAAGAAAGGAAGTAAAATACAGGGAAGAGGAGCTTTATAAAAGAGCTATGGGTCTGCTCCCAAGTTGATAGGTTAAACTGTACAGAACACTGGCTCTGAGGCATTGCTCTCATATTTGTAAAATCAGCATGGCAGCTCTGTCAAGGGCTATGAGTCACCCTGAGTTAGAAGTAGTAGCACAGCCTTCTGCTTCCACGCGAACAGGAGTGAGTGGCTTTAATGGACTCAGAATTACCCCTTTGGTTAGAGCACCGGCTGACCTCTGCTTTGTTCTCCTGCCTCCCATTTACAGCTGTGCTGAGAGTGGAACCTCTCCCATCCCTGGGAGAAAAGGACTGGATGGAGCCCTTAAAAGTGAATCACATCGATCGCAACCATCTCCCTCCCCA